ATTTATTTGAATATCTTTGTATAAATCCGCAACACACGTTGTTATACACGTGTGTAGGGTGTTGATATTGTAGTTTAGAAATTATAGGCCAGGATCAGGAACAGCCGGGACATGAGTACGCAAACATGCGAACAAAAACAGCAGCCAGAGAACTCCACTGGTTCAGGTTTAATAGTCTGGTAGTGGCAAACTAGTTGCTTTGATTTCCGACGATTCCCATTATAAACATTCTAAGCCATAGCAGGACTAAACGTTTATATCCTTATTCACCAGTATGTCCCTGTGTCCTTAAAACTCACTTTGAACTAGCGCTGTGGATTATCAAAACTTACACTGTGCAGATATTCAAAACAAAACTAATATAACTTCCCACCTGTTTTATTATTGTGCGTAATTTTGTATTTGCTGTAGCAAGCACTAATAGTAGTTCAACATAGTTGAAATTATTGGTAAACGTGTTGTGGATCATGTCATGACAAGCACCGGTAACAGCTACTGAACGTAGTTATCGACGTTGCTAACAACAATTAACAACGTATGCAACACGCACATCAGTTGTGGCCTGCAACACGAGATAACTCAAATTCCTTGCGCTGGTATAACCTCAAATTATCGCCGTCTAACCTAAAATTAATAACGGCGTGTGTATTTTTAGCGCTTTTTCATGCTGATGTATTACTTGAGCAAATGCATTACGGTAAATTAAATTTGAAAATCGTTTGTCTCCGCAAACATAAAAGTGCTCTTCGGGGATCGCGGCGGAAAGCTCATTGTGTGCAAACACTTAGCAACCCTTTTTGCGAGCGCGTGCGAGGCTTAAAACACCGCGAAAAATCATAAGAATAAAAATCACTGCGAAAAGTGTACTCGTTTAAATTTCAATAAATTAGCATTAACGTTTTAATTATTCAAATGGGCCTGTAAAACATTAATACAAAGCACAAAAACAAACAATTTCAAAAACGCAAACATTTTATACAATATTTTATTCAATTTGGACGTTTTGCAAGCGAAGTAATAAAACTAAACGACCATCCATCGATAGTTGACAGTTTTCTCTCATTGCGACCCTCGACGCGTCACGCGTCTAACCTCATTTATATGATGTGTGCGATGTGTAAACTCGGCCGCCATCATGACGCTCGCGCGCGGGTGGATTTATGCAACCATCTGTCCACGCGACGCGATCTGATAAGGTCTTCGCGGAGACCCTTCTTCAAATCCACTCGCACCGAATATACATATTATTCTCGTCATAACGACGCGTCGACAATTTAACATGGCTGTGACTTGAATGGGAATTGACAGGTGTTTATCTCTCGCCCTCATAAAACAACGCTTTCCCTTCGTACACACATCCACACACACAAACACACAGGCGCACAATGTTTGTATATTTGCATGTTTGTGTATTTTGGTTGAGTTCGGTTTGGTTCGCACGGATAAAACTGTTCGTAACGAGCGTAACCCTTACGCAAATTGAAAACGAAGCGCCCGCAAATGAAATGCAAATGCAAATACATAAATACTGCTTGTGCAATATACAGACACAAACGTAAACGTAAACAATCATCGTTTTTTAATACGTTTATGATTATAAATTAACTTCTACGCGTGTACAGCTGTGGTTTTACTCTAACCTCAATTTTCGACTCTATTTTGTGGTTATGTTACATTGAAATGTCATTTGGATGTGGGTAACACTAGTTTTATACATTCAGCAATAATTTAAGACTGGTTGGTGACCCGTGTAATTTTTGCTATTTGTCTGTTTGTGGGCGGTGTGTTTTGGTTAGGTTCGCCGCGATGGTCGCACCTCAGCTCGCGATTTGCATGCGGGGCACGTGTAACGAGGTTAATTGACGTTTATTGTTTCGTGTTTTCGTGCCGTTTTCGTGCCGTGCATTCGGGGGTGTCCAAAAATTTACATCTGGTCGTTCATATTGCGCACACGTACACGTACCAAACACCCCGCCGCAAATTGCGTTTGAATGGGTATAATTGACACTCTCTCACTGCACGCATTTGAAAGTAGTACAAATGTCAGCTAATAAAAACAACAAACTAACGCCATCTCAAAATTAATTCATCCCCGAAACAACATGTTTATGATGCGTTTGTTACCGTTTTGATTGAATAAACCTAAATCCCTTTTAGTTTCCAAGATGGCGGACGGTTATACTTGTCTCAAAAGATATAGTTAATAATTAATTGTTTGTTTGGGCTTGTTGACGCGCAATATAAGCCCACGTCTTTGCACTAGACATCATAATAACTATGTTGTACATTTCCTGTGTGTGTGTGTGTATGGCGGCCGCCATTTTAATTTCTCAACATGATGGAAACCTGGTCTTTGCTGGATTATGTCATGTTCGTCTTTTTGTGCGGATTATTCATGAAAAAGTTTACGTGTACAGTTTTGTTTGTTTGCGGTGACGGCTTAATTTTACTTTTTTAATTACGTCCAGGGACTCTACTCGTTTATCGCGCGATTAATTTCGGAGCTTTTTAAATGCAGTAGCTGCAAACTTTCCAAAACCTTAAAATCTGAAAGTTAAAGCTCTAATAATTCATAAAACGCAAAGAATTTCCTTATACAAAAGACGCATTATTGAAGTATTAAAGTATCTCTACACAACAATGACGTAATAAACCTAACCTCAATCTTGCACTAGCTAATACTAATACTAATGCCTAAACTATATATTGACGTTCGTTATCATAATCATTCTAATCTACACTCACTTTAATGTACTCGTACTCGTAATATTTGCCATCCACTTTTTTCGTGAATACTCAACACATTCATATACTTTACTTTTCCGTCCTTGCGGTTGTGGATGTGGAGCATTTGTGTTTTGTCATCGCAGTGTTTGCTCGCATAATGGCGACGGCAGCGTGGCGGACACTCGTCGCATGTATGTTAATATGGAGGGCTGGTCGTTTCTGTTTCGGAAAGGTGGCTCGCGCTCACGTGTTTATGCACGAAACCGTCGTCGGCGGTGGCGGCGGTTCGACAGCGTTAAGTAAATGTGTGCCGTGAGCGCACATCGGGGGCAGGGGATCACCATCGTACACTCACCCAGCTCGGACTGATGCATGCATATGCATGTTATCGGTGTGTGCGTGTATGTGTCCATGGGTCTAGTGGGATACATTAGCGGTGAGGTTCTCCGAGCCGCTCCCAGGTAATTTCGTAATGGCCGGTTTCACGTGACAAGTGCAAACAGAGTCTAATCGCCCCGTAATTTACTAATTATTGATCAGCCATTGTTATTATCATCATTCACTTCACTTCGTATGACACTAGTATTCCTAACCTAGAATGTGTGAGATTAATGTCATTTGGGTTGCATAGCTAATATTTTTTTATAAGTTTTTTTTGACACGGCGTGCTTTGTTTTTAATAAGCGCGTGTGTCTGTATTTATTGAGTCGCACGCGTTCCTGCATCCGCCGGCGTCGTCTTTGCCGCCCCCGTGCCAATCGATAGGACTCTCGGGAAATCAGTAAACAGCGGGGCCGGTGTGCGACGAACGAATCCGAAGAAACTGCAACTGGATTCTTCCACTTTTCGGCAACGAGCAATATCAGTCAAGTGCGAGGTTATGTTGTACGGCTGTCATTAATTTTCAGGTTATATCTCACAAGTTGCGCAACTAAAAATTACCGGATCTAATTACAAAGTTAATTAACCTCTTGAAAAATAGCGTCCCTTTAGCGCACGCGAGATGATGGTTTGTGACCGAAATTCAAAATTTACTTCGCTGCTCAGGACGCAAACACCTTGAAACGTGGCATAATGAGGCGCCGAGGTCCTGCACGCATGAATGCACGAACGGATCGCGAGACGAAACTCGCGAAACATTTAAACGCGAATTACATTCGAAACTTCGGGTTACGCGCAGTTGATGAAACTTCGAGACTTCGGCGCAACGGCGACGCCTCTGTTCAAAGGGCTGCCGAGAGGATGTAGTGGAGTGGTGTGGTCGTTCAACATTCGTCTGCTCCTCCGGGAGCGTCAGCGATCTGTGCGTAACACCTCAAAACGTTTATAATTACTTAATTACCAACTTTATAAATGCGATTATGAACAAGAACAAATTGCACTGACGAGGAATTACGCCGAAGACATTTCAAAACACTTGCCAAACACTAAGTTTAAAGCGCTCGCAATGTCTCAACAATTCATACAATTCTTTTGTCAATTGAGGTTATGTTAGTGTTGCTATTCAAAAATTTTGAACATAACCAAGCAAGTTGTATTGAGTTTATGATTTTGACATGTCAGCGCAGTACTTTAAGACACAAAATCTCCCTCGAAGAAAATCTGATGTCGATGTGTCGCATATTCTGTTTACCGGGTCGCGCCCGACAATAGATTGGAATAATTCGAAGCGACACGTTCAATTAGAGTGTTTCTGACATTGTTGTCAAACGGAAGCGCCGCCGCCCGGCCGTCGCCGACCACCCGCGCCGCCGTCGCCGCCGCCGCTTGATCGGCTGTCATTGCGACGCGCGCGCGCCCATCGAAGCGTGCGCGGATACGTCTTGACGCGCGCCTGATTACATTCTTTCGGCCACTCGGATACATACTGGGCCCCGCCACCCCTTCCGGCCACCCCTCGAGTAATACGTTATTCATCGACGATGAAGGCCGGAATAATTTACTCTCCACTCAGCTTTGCTTAAACACTAAACTACTAGTTTTTAATCGATTTATCAGACGTGAATATTTCGTAGGTTGCAGGGGCGGGGTGGGGAGGAGAGATAAATTTACATTGTAGATTAATTGCGTCATCTGCATAATGCCTTGTATTTTTATATTGTTTGCATAATTTGCATGAATTAATGAACTGTGATCAACCATTCAGCCTTAATAATTCACGAGGAGTGAGGGTGGATGAAGTGAGAAAATCGTGCGAGCGAATTGTCCACTCGGTTGATTCTTGTTGATGACGGTTTCACTTTCTATTTTAATTTTTTTCCACTGACAAGCAATTTTAAAGTGATTGACACATTTTATTAATTCGTGACTAAAGACAAAAACTTAATTAACACCCTGTTGCGCAAAAAATTACATTTGTTTAATAATTAATAATCCACCGGGGAAAACATCCGAAAAATAATAATAACATGAAATATTTTTACATCAACCCTTATTTAGAACAACCCTCAAACAAGTCTATTAAATACATATTAGGCGCGTGCCGTTGTCCTTCCTTTCGCCTGCTATTTCCTCATCCTCTGGGTTTTGTTGATTTGTTGTCTGATATTATTACGGCAATATATTTATACATACGTTGTAGGTGTGTCCGAAAACTACCCCTATCACAAACACAATCGCATCGCATTGTTCTGCCATTACTTCTATTACACTCGTGTGTCGAATTAATAAAACAACGCAATGCAGCGTAATGAAAACGAAAATAATGAAATAAAATGAAATAAAACCAGTCGGCACGTGCGTATCTCCTAAAGAATATATTCTTATGATTCTTGTTAACCTCATGCTGAGCCCTGAAAGAAATTATCTGAATTAGATGATAAATTGAGGCAGAAAGAAATAAAAATAAGAATAACTACCCTTTAATAATTTTGTATGTCAACAACTCTCTCGATAGGGTTGGGGGGATGTGAGCGACGACTATGAACTTGAAGTTTAATTGGATGTAAAGCGATTAAACACGTACTCGCGCCGCGCGCAGCCATTTGTCGCTCTGCTGCTGCCGCCGCCGCTGTCAGTCCTCGTGTTGTTAACGCAAGTTAACGCAAGTATCATCTGCATATGGATGAGTGTGTTTAACATAAATACGCATGAATTCATAATAACACAATCACAATCGTCATTGAATCATAAAATATTATGACATTTGCATGTGTGACACTAGCGCCATCTAGTGTTGAATAGCTTATACAAATTATATACAAATATGTTCGTTTTGTTTGCGGGTTTTATTGGTTTTGTTTCGCGCGCTGTGTGTGCCTCTCCCGCGGTGCAGTGGAAGTGTGCGAGTAAATTAATATATTGCCGCCGCCGTCGCGACGCGCCGAAGGATTCGCTCCGTAATTGTCGTAATGCAGGGCTTCAATTACAACCGGCGGCCTTAATTAGGCGTCAAACTGCGAACGGAATTAAATTATTTGTCAGGCTTCCAGGCTTCCCGCTGCTGAATTCTTTGTGCGATGCATTCCCGCGCATCTCACCCCCCAGCCGGCCCGCCGCCGCCCTCCCGGAATGAATTTTTATACTTTCCATTAGCGACCCGCATTGACATCGATCTCTGATTTTATTTTCCTCTTAATTATTGCGTTGTTTTTTGTTTGTGTTGTGTTTTACATCTTGCGCTGTGTATTTTTTAGAAGGAAATTGAGAAAAAGGACTGGAATCAGGGCAGGAATGGAAAGCGCGATTGATGAGCGACGGAAATGGGATTTTTGCGACGATTTATATTAATTTGCGATTGTTTCTTTGTTTGTTTCGAGTTGCAGCGCAGCGTGCGCGACAATAAATTCAAATCGAAGTAAAATCGATGGGCATAAACTACAAATTCAAACAAATAAACTATTTCTAGGTTAGGTTTGTTTAACAGGGCTATTCTAATACAGATTTCTGTAAATTTTATAATATAGTAATCTATATTACCGACACTCGATAAAATTTAAGCTGGTGCGACCAATGCACACGATTAAACTTTGTTTAAAGTCATTTAAATACAAATTTACGAATTAAACGCCTGATATTCTGATAATACCGGCGCAACGAGTTGGAACAAAACACATCAGACCTCATGAATGACCATGGAATCGTTTTGTATAATCACAGCTCTCGCGCGCTTCACTTTTTTCGATTTATTTGTTTGTTTTGCGTTATTTTTGTTGCCGGTATTTCAGGAATGTCTGAATATCGAACGTCGAAGATCGCCGGAAGTAAAAAGCTCGACATATCCGTTAGTAGAGGCGGCGACGGCAGCAACGACGGCAAAAGGCATGCATTACACAAGCACCCCCCGGACGGACGGTATAAATAATGCGGAGTCCATCGCTTTGACGCCATGAATAATGCAGCGTATGTAAAACGTGATTTATTTTAAGTGCTTATGTCGGTACACATGCGTTAATATGATTTTCGTTGCTGTATCTGCAAAAACCCCGACGGTTCTTGGAAAAGTTTATGTTTTCATCTATTTTTCACTAGTTTCCAAGTCGATAATGCAGATATTGATAATGTCGGTAATACAGATATTGATAAATTATGTTTATCATTAGTTTCAAAGTCGGTAATACAGGTATTGATAAATTAAAGTTTACTTAACCTCAATGTATCGCTAGTGGTGTGAATAAAAATGAGGTTTTTATTGTATTTTTTCGTAGACAGTATCTTGCTATCATCAATTTCTGGCTGGTTGGCTGGCGGCGGGTTTCGCATTATGAAAGAAGAGAATGTATCGAGGGCAGGCCCTTGGGAAAAAGTGAAATCACACACAATCAATACGGAAACTAAATAGATTTGGCTGGCGTTCATTTGGCGAGTTCATCTAATTTACACCCGCAGCGAGTCGCCTGCCAATATGCCACCCTCGCTTTCGATCGCACCAGCCGGAGTCGTGAATTGCAAATATCGAGATGCATCGAACTTCGTTCGCCGTCGCGGCCAGCACCCAGACCATCAAATCTTGCAATACACTTTGAAATAATTTAATCTGATTCAACCCGACCCTCGACGCTTGCAAAGAATCTGTGTGAATTTATTGAAATTATTAAATTTCGCCAATGATGCGCACCTAATTAGATAATTACATATCCAAATCATTTAGGACAAAATGTAAACACACTCGAAAACGCTAAAAGCTTTTAAATATAAACACTATTAACGCAACACAGCTGTGGACAGTCAAAACAATTTAATGCATTGAATGCAAAATTAACACAACTAAAACAACACATTAACTCATTCTACACCGACGAAAAACACGAAATTGTCAAAGAGTTAAGTTAATTAGTAAAAAGTGGTATATTTAGCATACGGAGCAATTAGAATGTTAAACATGCTATAAACCAATCATTAAATTAGCGCACGCTAAGCCATACATCAAAATGATTAATTAATTAGTGAAATTAATCAACTAAAATTCAATTTTATATATTTCTGGAGCAGATAGCGCTAACTATACGTGAAAATTCATATGAATAGGGCGCAAGTTTAACGTAGAAAGAGAAAATGATGAATGAATAGGGCTAGGGTTTTTTATTAATTAGTAAACTGACACATAGGTGGCGCTAGCTATGCCAAACTGATTTATTCAACTTCGAGCAGGTGGTATCGAACGATCCAGTTCGGTCAGCTGTGTTTACTTTATGGCCGGTGCCCCGGCGGGCAGCGATACACAAACCGATAACGTAAAATTATCAAGTTGATATCAAATCGAAAACATAAATAAAACTAGCAATAAACTAGTCTTTGCGTGTTATTCGCATTCTTCGTTTGTTTTGTAAGAATCAGTTTTGGTGCAACGTAAGTTTTTAAACTAAAAATTAACATTATTTCAATATATTTATATACCTATAATTCAAATAGTGTTATAAGAATATGTTTGTTGTGATTTTAATACTACGTTCTACAAGTTGTAATTGTTTACAGAATTGGTTTGCCGGGTCTAGTCCTACTTCTTTGGTTCGTATCTCTGCTACGTGCAGCGCTGTGCTTGCGCTCGCGACGCGAACAGCCGACATTCGCCGCCAGCGCCAGTCGCAAGTAGTACGCGCGCGTTGTGTTCCATCCGCGTCCGCAGTCGTTGCTCCGGGCCCGGGTGCCGCACTCTTGTACTGGTGGTGCACGCACACCGCCGCACGCATTCATCAATAAAACGCACCGCACCGGGCGAAACTGTGATTTGTGACCGACTTCGCTGTGTCCACTTGTTACGAACAATCTCTGCAACAAAACAAAAACATTTCCAATCGCGCGCTGTTCAATCCTCAACCGACGTGCGAGTTATCGAGCCGGCTAAGGAAGTCTGTACGCTCGTGGAACGTCCGAAGTCCATCAATAGCAGGCGATACGCGCATAAGGTAAGTGTTCACATCTTCTCAATAGATAGATTTCCGTGCGAGTTTCATTGATCAAAACGCGCTGCGAATGTGTTTCGATGCGCGGAATTAAAAAGACGCGGCCGGACAGCCGGTTTTTACACCGGTACTCTCGCTGCAGCTTGTTTTTATCGGTTTATATGCGCATTTGTGTAGGTAAGTGAGTGTGAATGCTGCGTTTTCGCACAATTTAGAAATAATACTCCTACATGTCTTCAAATAATCAACTTACTGCATGTAATACGACTTATTAAAGCTAGTAAATTGTGTTTCTTTGACTTAAGTCAACAACTTTTGCTTTTAAACAACGTTTAAGTTTATTTTAACAGGTTTTATCTTTGTTTTGATGAATCTGGAGGTTAAAGAAAAACTTTTAATATTTTTATCGTCGACTTTGTGCGTTTAGAACCAGATTCACCTCAATTTGCTTGAAAAGTTTGCACCAGGTGCAACTTAGTGACTTTACCAGCCCACCATGATGGATTTCTACCCTAATTTGAACCGCCTCGGTTGACAATAACTTACTTTTGCGCTCTTCCCCTTCAATTTTAAACTTTTCTCCACTCTATTGATCTCCAAAGATCTTTATATGTGGATCTTTACACATCTCTGTAATTCTTTAGAGTTTTAGACGTTGCTGGTCATAGATAACCATCTTTTTGTACCTTTTCTAAAGCCTCGCTTTCAGTATTGATGCATGGTGTTCAATTGAAGTTTGAAAGATCAAAGCAAGACGCAAAAACTTGGTTTTCACATTGGTTGGCGGCGGTTTTGCACAATGTATTGATTTAAAACCCCCGTAGATTTGAAATTTATAAATCTCAGACGTTTTTTTCGCTTAAAGCGTAGCTTAGTGACGTTAAATATTCGCACAGAGCGGTTTGAAACTTCAAAGAGCAGTAGCAAAGTGAAGTTGAATATTTTTAGCGCGTTTATAGCGTTCAATGTTTATTTAGATGTTTATTAATGATTTTTCTCGTTTACATTTCGGCGAATAACGAAATTATTAATGTGGCCATGTTTGACGGGGCAGCATTAATTACGAATCCGTTTAAAATTCCATTTTAGAAGGTTTGAGCTCCCTTACTGCCTCGTTTAGGGGCATTTTCTGTATTTACGCATTGCATAGTTCACATTCGCTACACAAGCAAGATAATCCTCTGTAGCACTGATGAAACTGAAACGTTGCAAACAGTGAAATGTGAAACAGGCGCGAGTTTGGAGGGTTTCCGAATTTTATTTTTTATGTGTGTGTGTGAGTGTGGTGGAGTATTTAGTTGGTAAAAAACGAACGAGATGTAGAAAATTGCAAAAAGAGAGCAGATAACTGGAAAGGCGGAGGATAGGGATGGAAAAAAGTGGGTAGTATTGTTGTACACTTTGAGGGGTTTTAACTGGCGTGTGTATACTGATTATTATGCGTTTATTTTTTACTTTTATTCGCGCTTGAATGTTTTTAATAATACCGCTTTTCATTTTTTTCCGCTAAGCTTTGCGATGCATTTTTTAAAATTTTAAATTTAAAAGTAAGTTTTGTCGTTTTCAGGATTTTTAAAAACGTTTACGCAATTTAATCTGGTAGGAAAATATCTATGCGTTTATAAATTTTAATATTTTCTTTAAATTTAAATTCCGCGCGTTGTTTATTAGTGGATGAATAAAAAAATGGCAACTTATGTCGAGCATTTATTTCTACGCGACAATAAACTACAAATATTACGCTCACGCGAACCTACAAGTACAAACTGCATGTGCAATTGAGTAAATCATATACGAGTATATGAACCTCCAGACAAAACACTGCGCAAACACGAATCCGAAATGGCAGGCACAGGGTCGTCGGCGGAAATGTGGCACAAACACGAAACAAACTGCAACAAAACTGTTGCAGACAAACCGCAATGAATAATCGTGTTTTGCTCCATTTCAAAGTGCACTAAATTTTGCGCCATATCCATAAAAATATGTAAATTTTAAATATATCATAAACTACTGCGCATGCGCAGCTGATATAATTTAAATTGTTTCCGTAATACAACCAAAATATTTTTAAGTTTTAGTCAGAACAAGTCACACAATACAAAATTAACTAACTATTTTTGTTTTGTGTTTTTTGTGTTTTGTGCTTTAAATCGTCGTGCATTTAATGATTCCGAACGTGAAACCTTCTCGTCTCGTTGTCTCAGATGGTGCGAGACGCGCTCTAGTTATATTTATTCGAGTATTTGTACTCAACAAATTTATTTCCGTACGTCAGTTGCTTCAGATGCCCGCCGGTCTCAGTCGCTTGACTCTCTGTGCGTTTCCACCGTGTGTTTGCTCTGCTGCCGGGGCACAATGTAAACTTTTTCGGTTTCGGCGTCGTCATAAATTTAGATTATCCGCGGACTGCGGGCGCTCGAGAGGACTTGCATCTTACCGTCTTACAGCTTCAGCTCATGCGGATGGATGGACGTTTTGTTTGTTTCTTAAATTTAAAATTAAAGCATTGCAGGCATACATCTTCAAACAAACGAATTTTTCTTATGCTTGGAAAATAAAAATAAATCTCTAGGTCAATGTCTTCAATTAATTCAATTTTTTTCAACACTGATTAATGCGATATTAAGTCCCATAACGAATTAAAAAGTTCAATTGGTGTCACATCTGCACATCAAGTGTGTTTTCTTCTAGTTGCAGCCGAGTTTTAATCAATATTATACATATACAAACAGTGATAAGTAAAGTAATAATACGATAAGTTATTTTTATATTCCAATGTCATCTATCTTCTTGGCAGTGTCACGCTGCATCGATTATTGTGTGATTAGGCAAGCAGCGCATTCATTCAGACTTACAAAATGAAATAACGTCCGTAAAATATTTAAATATTTAATTTTAAACTTTTTCTACCAAAGCTCATTTGAATACGTATAAACTTTTACAAGCTGTGTTTTTGTTTACATTGTAGTCTGATCGAACTCGAGGGAATATGTGTTTTGTTAAGCTTCATCAATATTCTAATTTATGTTGAATATGTGTGGCCGTTCGCGGCTTTAATGTAATTCGGGGGATTATCTGACTGACCCAATACACCACAAACACACCAAACACGCATTATCACTGCTTATTAATAGAATTAACATTGCATTTTCATAAAATTACAAACTTACGCTCAGCCACTCGCCAATGTGGAATCTAGGTCGTATTTTGCGCGAAAAAAACATAAATTTCCGCCTGCCTCACTGCGGTTCCGTTAGTGTTTTCGTATGCGCAACGCATCTAGCATGTAAATTTACTTTTGTTACATTTATAAACGCCTAGCGTACGTGCGCTTTGCGACGTAAGTGTCAACATCAGTAATTTTGTATAAACAATGCGACAATTTTAGACGTTTCATTCATATTGCGTAAATTTCTTGCTTTTTATGTTTTGGTTTTATATTAAACATTGGCAGCTGCATGAATTTTTAATTTTTGTTTTATTATTCATAAATTCATATTTAATCAACAAATTGAATTAAAATCAAATATAGAATCAGACTAATATTAAAATATTCATTACTTTTCAATTTTCACTTTTTAATTTTTAATTTAATCAAACATTTAAAAATTTAATTTCAGTTTTTTCAGATTTTTATAAAATCCTCCCCGGTGTGACATGTCACGCACTTTCATTCAATTTTTCACCATCACAGTAATTTCAGCCCTCATTCAGTTTCACTCCGCTCGTCCTTCTTCATGTCACACACCACATCAAACGGGGCTTTACTTTCTAATAAAATATCGAATGCCATTAATAGCGCACAGCAACACTAGGAGAATATTTAGGGTTGTACGCCCACAGTCTCTAGAAATGAATATTACAATCAATCACGGCGCAGCCACGCCGAACGAGCTCTAACAAGATAAAAGTTAACCTCAACGGTAAACTAATAACCCATCCAGTGAATAATTAAAGCCGCCGAAGGGGCGTTAGCTTCACGGACACGGTCGTAAGTAAAATGTAATTATCGCGTTTTATCGTCGGCGATAATTCATAATTTATATGCTTCATATGCGCATTTGGAAGTTATCGATAACCAGGTCGGGTTTAACAAGAAAAAAATTTGTAAAGGGATGCCGAAAACTTTCGTCGTTAAAATATTTATTGAGTATCAAATTACTAATTATTATTTATTAATGAGTGCTATTTATCGGAAAGTCATTAAAAAATGTAGAAGTTTTGTTTTTTTATTCTAAATTAGGTAAAAATAAACATCCTCATTCTGCTATTTATTTTTGTCTGTTGAAGGCACACGAGGTAAAAAAGCTTTGTTTTTTCTTTGCTCGGAAGAGAAAAAACACAACACAATCAGAATGGGACATGAGACAAACCAAAAACCAAGAAGATACATGCTTTACTTCGTTATTTCTTCTTGTTTCTTTTTTTTTCGTAACAAAAAAGAAAAATAACATTACATTTTAAATGATGTTGGTTGCTGGTATCAAATTACACGAGTTCTAAAATTTATTAAATTTATTTAAGAAGTTGGATCTAATTAAGCAAATAAAGGTTTGTCTGATGTGTCATTATGTTTGTTATTGTCATTTCATTATCGTATCGTGGTGCTAACATTCCAATAAATTAATTCAAATATTTATTTCTCTATACTTGTTCAGCTGTCCTCTTTAAAGAATGAGTAATCATCAAATGAAGTATGACACTTTGGAAAATTTATGATAAATTACCTAAATTACATAAATTTGGGATTTTATTGAGATCATTATTTCGCAGAAATTTCTACAATCATTGTGTATATTTATTTTTTACTCAACTATCAATGTCACACTTTGCGGTTGAAGAAGTCTAATAAAACTGTGGTTTTATATCCGTTTGAAGTTTGTCAACATTTGTATTCTGTCTAAGTGTTCTGATAAACCAGCAAAATGAAGTCATGAACATGTGTTGCATCTATTTTTGCCTATAATTCTAATAAATCTCGTGATTAAAACGGATTCGGT